TCTACAAATAAAGGTGTTGCCCATTTTGGGCCGGTACCTTATTTGCCTTTGTGGACCGCATGCTGGTTAACGAAGAACCCAGCGTGATCCCACGAAGTGAGTGAAATGGAAGTTAGCAGATTCGGTTCAAAATTTATTGGACGAATCATTTCATCCAAATATTAAAGTCGGATTTCAAAGTCAAGAGTATTGTGAAAACTTGAAAGTATTCAGAATATATTTGAATCATCAATCAAGTCATGCAACACTCGCTCAAGCAGTCCCTTGTTTTTCTTGGCAGAGGCAATGGGGTACGAGTCGGATTAGATATATGACGTTGGCCACACCCGGACGGCAGTGCCTGTCACTGGTGATGGACACAACTTTGAGCATGCCCGATTCTCCCCTTTGAGAAGCAGCTCCACGTACCGACTCAGTCCCCAACAGCGCCATCTAACGAAGGGAACGCCAAAGGCAGGGCAAATTCCTTTACCCCCTTTCTGATCAAGGCATCGCACTCACCCCGGCTGGGGTCGTCAGAGGGATTGGAATGGCTAGGAACCCCGCCGATCCATGGGCGGCATCTCGAGCGATCTTCAATTTCAAGGGTCGCACTAACAATGGAGGACCCACAGGCAGTTGAAGATTTGCAGCTTACGAGAGCACCTTGAGCAGCTTCGTTATCAAGGTACAGCAGAGTGTATGACTCGCGGATGGTGCACTCCCAGAGGGCCATCGCAACCCACACGGCCAACAACTCTATCTCGTAAATGGGGTGGCTGGAATGGCGCTTCAAGACGGAAAGGTAGCTGCTCGGCACCTCTCCCGAAAAGTAGGCGAGCGCCTCTCCTTCGGAGTTGAAAAGAATTCCCCCCAACCCGGCAAAGTCGCCTTCCAGACTTCCATCAGTGAAGATGTAGAAGGTCCTTCTGATAGATCGCGTGATTTTCAACGGAGGAGCAGTCAAGGCCTTATCCAAGAGGTAGGTTAGAGCTTCGCGCAGCTCTGGTCCCAGACGAGTAGTACCGCGGGGTCCCTTGGCCCTCTTCCCAAGAATACTGACTGCTTGGCACGGCCTTCTCCCGAAGAGGAAGGTACAATACCAATGAAGTCGGCCCCTCAGGGCCTCGGCCTCCGCAGGCTCCAAGCTGTCCTCGTTCAAAATCTTGGTCAGGGCCTCTCGGAGCTCTTGGACCCTCTCCTTGGTATGGGTCAACGTGACTTCGCCTTGGCCAAACTTTGAAAGGTCGAAGAGCAGCCTCAAGGCACGAAAGGTGGGGCTGAACTCGGTGGCTTTCTTACCAGAGGTGGCATAGGCTATTCCCAGAAGGTCAAGCAATCTCTTCGCACACTGATCGGATTGGGTGACGTGCGAACGCAGGCTAAGCATGGGATAATCATCGAAATAATTGCACCAAGCCAGGCCTACCTTAACTACACCTATGTGCCAGGTTGCCGCAGCTGTCCTCAGGAATCCAGACACACTGCCAGTCGTTCCAAAAGGCAGGGAGCAAGCTCCGAACACCTTGACCTCCTTTGTGGTTGGGTTGAAAGCGGCTAGGCGAAACACGTCCCTATCTTCGGGAGCTACGGCATACTGCTTGTATGCAGAAGTCAAATCAAGGGTCTTACCCTCAATGATTGCATTGGCCGACCGGGGATCGTCGAGAGCTTTGGACAGCAAGGCTGAAATGAATTCCACCCCGTGAAGCCGAAACCGCTCCGGGAGTCCCACAGTCTGATTGATGCCTGAGGCTTTGCCGTCGTCTATTACACGGACCTTTGCACCTTGATGCACACCAAAGCGCCTGGAGATTAGACAAGAGTCAAGGTTAGGCTGACGGTTCTCGAAAATCCACCCCTTTTCTAGCTCCTGGGCAGTCTCTTCCCAGGTGGCCGCGGCGGTATCATCGCACACATGGGAAGCCACCTTTGCGAGCGTGGCTTTGTTGCGGGCTCCTGCTGCGCTCAACTGAGAGGTCAGAGTGGCTTTTGGAGGTCTAGGGGGACGAAAAGGAGGGTATTCTTCATCCAGCCCGATAGCCTAAAACCATTCCTTATGTCCGCAACAAGGTCTTGGTCGGGGTATCCTATGGAGGCAAGGAGCTTGGCCAAAAGCACGGTGCTCTTACCCTCTAAAACCTTAGACACAATGGGGTCTAAACCCGAAGAGACAACCTTTTCCTGAGGCTCAAGGACACGCTTCTCGGTCTCCAACTCACTCAAGAGAGCCATGCCTGAGTTGGGGTTGTCCAGCTTGGGCTGTAGAAGGTTTTCCACAAGGGTGTCCAACACGGGGTCTTCTACCGACGACACTAGCATCCTGGGGTGACCTGCTTTGACGGCAAGGGCCAAGAAGGCTTCAGGCTCGTGGGGAATGCCTATCCACACGACTTCACAGGTCTCGACAAAGTTTGTAGGAGTGCACATGCCACAGACTTTAACTGACGTCTCGCTATCAAAGGCTGGCAAGAGGTTCTGCGGCTCAGGGTCCACACACCAAGCCCATGCGCTGGTGAGAGTCAATCTTAACTTTGATGGGTCGATCTTGGGGGAGACGGAAGCACGAACCTGACCCCAACTGCAAAGCTTCCGGCTGCAGGCCTTGGCACCTTTGGGGTAGCATTTGAGTAACCGTTGCAAGGGTGCTTGCTGCTCTATGGGTAAGGCCCAAGCATCGTACGCGGCGTAAAGGCTGACCAGGGGCCTGCGTTTTCTTGGTTGCTTTTCAAGGGCCAAACGCAAGTGACTTGGAGCCGGCCCAAACAAGGAGATTTGTGGAGGCAGAGCGGTGACTGCACATCGGATCAACTCGGCCATGCGATGACACAGGAGCACGGGATACGCAGCTTCCGAGGCAGTAGGGAAGACAGGTTTGCCTTGGACGATGCGGGGCTTCCAAGAATCGTGCTTATGGTCTTTGCTGCAGGCCGCTGCGAGCTTGTTGAATCTGGCATCGGTGCACCAAAAACAAGTGAGTTTGTCACGCGCGCCGCCGTGCATGCAGGCATGAAAGTATATGGTTTCACCCGACACTTGCGCGAAGAGGATTGCCAGGATTCTCTATGGAGACTGCAATCCCAAGGGACTTGGCCAAGCGCACGAGGCGACAAACAAACTTGTAAAGGCAGTTCGCCTGCGTCACCCTAATCAAGTCCGACCCCTGGAGGCTGGGTAGCCCCATGGGATGAGCAGAATCCCGGAGCGGGGCAGGTGAGGCTAGGCCCGCTTCTTTGAATCCAGGAATTGGCCGTTCTCTGGCTGCAGAACACGTGCCACAAGGAGGCACTATGTGTATGTGCTGAAGGCGCGAGGCATTGTCCACTACGATCTCGCACAGGGCATCCTGATGATCTGGGGTCGTGAGATCTAACAGCTGAGTTGGAAAGGCTGGGCCTGCCTTGTGGTCGAAGGCCAAGACTTGAAAACCTGCTTCTTGCATTGCCATGCTTAGCCTAGCTGATCCAGAGAAGATCTCTAGACACATGCCCAAATCTGGCTCACCTGTGGTCGTAAGTTCAGAGGGCTTTGCATGGCGCATATCACACGGCAAGGGGATTCCGAAGGAGTGCAAATGATTGAAGGCTTCTGGCTCCAGATTCTCAATGCAACCGACGGAAAAGACGACCAAGACGAGCCTATCTCCGTCCGACCATGGCAAGGTTTCATGGTCGAAGTGTGCATCAAACTGCAACGTCCTTGAAGCAGTGAAGTTCAAGTCCTCAGTGGAATCGGCTCTGTGCACTCTGACTCCCCCGCCAGAGAAGGGGGTAAGCGCTGCGATGTGATTGTGAGAACCTGCGAGGTTGTTTTTGTCACAATGACGGGGTGTCTGTACATTCCGGAACAGCCCTAAAGAGGTGAACCTAACTTTAGGGAAAATTGACTTGGCTACGGAGACAAGCAGGCGACTGCAGGCTGGGTACATTTCCAACGACTTCCTCGGACCAGTGACCCCACCATGTCGAAAGGCTCCTGTGATGAAGCTGCTGCCGGCCTGTGCTCCTGCAGATTGACGGGCTGTGCTTTCATTGGGCAACAGCAAGGATAAATTCAAGAGGTCACTTGATTTGCAACGACCCTGCTGCAAAAGTTTGACTGCAAGGGATTCGGCTTCTGAGAGCTCGGAGGCAAAATTGCTCTCAACGAAGGGCTCAAAAGTGAAGGATTGGCCATCATGCCCTGAAGAGGTAGAGGCGCTTTCTTTGGGATTGACAGGAGAAGAACTCCACTCGGAAGGATCCGGGAGTATGTGATTGGGTCTTGGTGACCTGCTGCGCTGGCTGGGATATTCCTTAGGAATCACACTGAGCATCCTTTGATTGTCACTCTTTGGCTTCGCCCTGGCCTTTCCCCTGGCGGGCTCCTTTGCTTCCTTTCCCTTTCCCCTTATTGGCTGGGTTAAACCAGCACTTCCTGGCTCCATGTCCTGGTTTCCTGCACCAGGCGCAAGCATGCACTCCACGATTGCAAGCCGGAGGCTGCCTGGAGTCTACTTTGGCCTGGCATCCATTGCAGTTGAAACCCCAGCAGAGCCTGCGACCATCTGAATAGGTCAGATGAGGGCAATCCTGAAGCTCTTTCGGCAAATTAGCCGTTTTCACAGGTGCTTGAAGGCCGCCAGTTCGCTCTCTCTGACGCTTTCTCCCACGGGAGGGCTCTGCTTCGTTGACAGGCACTGCGCTGCTGGACTGACCCTTTGGGAGAGGAAGCAAGTGCATCACGACACGTGGATCGTGGCGAAGCTTCTGCACGGCCTCGCCTACGGGCATTTTGCCCGTGGAGTCAGCTCGTACCTGAGAGACTTCCTTAGCAATCAGGAGAAAAAGCTCTGAGTCAGCTTTCAGGATCTGATTGATCCCGACGCTGGCATAGTTGGGCGGAGCCTCTCGCGTGAGGTGCTGCATCAAGTAGGAAACCCATGATTCATGAGTCTCCCAGGAAATGGCCTGATTCATGTCATATGCTAGCCCTCTGCGCTGCAAGCACCACTGGATCTCAAGAGAAGTAGCATGGCTTGCCGTTAACTGATCCGCCACGGGGGCAAGGGTAACGGTGTTCTCATGTAAGGTGAGGACCTTGCTCCTCTCCTTTGCCCCTATCCTCAACTCTTGGTCCCTTTTTGGACACTTACTCGGAGGGATCCAAGCAACATGGTTGACTTCTACTTGATGCGCTACAGCGTCTATGAGGCAGTATGCAGGCTCCAGCTCTTCTTGGAACACAAGGCCCTTAAGACGCTGACGCTGGTTAGCAATGCGAGCCGTCTTCTCGGCTACTGGCAGCTTCTTCGGCGCTTCTGACGTCTCGCCCATCACCTGGGCCTTCAAGCTGGCAGTGACGTATGCTGACGATTCAAAGTGGAGACGGCGGAGCTTCGCCGCATCCCCAACGGAAGCTCCTGACCCAAGGATCTTATCACAGAATTGGTTGAAATCTTCTTCAGACGGCGGAGCCTGAGGGATTCCACAAGCGAACGCAAGATCACTGAAGGTCTTGACTTGCTGGGCCAAGAGCTTGCCATGAATGGCTGAATCTCCGCATACCAAGCTACATCTTGCTTTGAAGGAGGCTTCGGAATCAACCAGGGCCATTTTGGCCTTCACTCCTATCAAAAGCTCTTTTCTAGAAATCTGCTTGAGCAGGGCGGTCAATGGCACGCCACGTTTGGTTGCGCGACAACAGGTCACATGTTCCCCAGTCCAAAGCACCACAGCACTCTTTGCTTTCGCTCCAGGTCAAAAATTTCAGGCCAAGGCTTGCGCTTTCCTACAGTTTCTGCAGACAGGAGAGCTGGCTTTGATGGCCTTCGGCTCCTCCAAGGGAGGCTTCACGGGCCTTCCGCAGATCGTAAAGCGGAAATGATTGACTTTCAGCAAGTGCAAGGCGCCGACCTTCTTATGCTGTACAAATTTGAAACCTGACCCCGGCTCGGGCAAGTCCCTCACCACTCTAGGCCTTGAAGGAGAATCCGAGCTTGACTCTGAAGAGGACTCTGAATTTGACGAAGTAACCATGGACTCCGAACTCGAACTGTCGTCGTCCCTCGCATCTTCGTGCACGGAACCGACCACGGGGCCCTCCTCTAGACACGCATTTGCAGGCGGGGTCAGACTTCCACACACTGATGTGTCCGACTTGACCTCGATTTGCTTATCTCCGGCAGACCTAGTCGGCCCAACCTTTGGACGGGCTTTCGGGGTTGCTTTTAGGGGATGCTCAGACCCAGGTACAAAGGAGAAACTGCGTGGCAAACTTGGCGCTGCGAACCTCCCTGCCCTGTTGGCTTCTGGGAAGAACGCCTCATTACGAATGGCTTCTATGACCTCCGACAGCATCCTGAGGGGACGTGCCATAGCATCTCGGCCGTACACGTCCGCCATCCTGCCACTGTGCGCATGACCTCCAAGGACAAGGCGGTCCTGGTGTAAGAGCCCATATTTTGCCGCAAAAGAAAGGAAGGTTGCTTTCAGCGAATGGGATGTGGTTCTGAGCTCTGAGCGATCATCAAGCAGAAGCCTCAACCAATCCCCGGCCTCGTCCGTATCTAAAGCTCTCACGGTCGGGAAACCAGATCTATCCGGGTCAGGCATAAACGGGCGCTCGTCGCACAAGCCCAAGTCACTTCTGGCTTTCATGAATTGGGCAACCCAGTCGTCGTCGGTTACACCTTGCCCTGGTGCTGCCAGCTCGAGGTGCACAGAAAGCTTTCCCCTCAGATTCATGGTTTTATGGGTGTCAATGATTGCGCTCAAGTACGCTGTCCGCTTGGTGAAGGAATCTTCTTCAAAGGGTAAAAATGTCAATGTGCTGACAATCAGACCACCTGCAGCGAGCATAAGCGCAATACAATGCACATCCGCAAAACAGCCGTGTCCACACACACTCGGCCTCTCGGAGGAGAAGGTGCAGTTTCTTCAAGTCACGGACTCTCAGAGGAGCGGCTTTCTGCACGACTGCCGCCAGGCGGGCGACACCTACTCCCCAGCACTTGCGGCTTTCACACAATGGGATCAAGGATTCCATGTTGAAGGTGTACCTGCTGAATGTAACTGCTTCCATGATGCTTCTAATATTAGACAAGGAGGCTCCCATAGACTTTGCGACATGCAGCACAGTGTGAAGGCCGTCTTCACTCATCGGGAAGCTGAGATTTTGGTCGAGGAAATGTTAGTCAACCTGCGCAAGGAGTTGGCCCGCTTTAGCATGGTAGCAGGGGCTTTGCGAGCCATGTAGTCCTCAAGCAAGCGATGTCTGTCGGATTCATTGGGGATCGAAATTATCTCCTCAATGCGCTTATCACTGCCCGAGTCCCACCTGAAGAAAAGCTGATCCCATTTCAACAAAGCTTTGTGGTGCTCTGCTTCTCTCTTGTCCCGCCAAGAAATGACTTCCCTGTTTTTGACCACAGATTCAAACAAGGCTGTATCGAACCTTTTGGCCTTTTTGGTTTTTGGGTCAACCGGCTCTTCAAGAAGTCCGGACATGCGGGGAACTGATGGGCAAGATGCATCGAACACGGGGAACATGGTGTCTAAGGGACTATCTCCAAAGAAGGAACCCCAGAACCCTGACTTCCAGAATTGCTTCACGGGTTTGTCTTCCAAGGAAAGATGCACTGCTCTCAAGTCTGGGGCCATGGCGGTGGCGCTGGAGTTCGTACTGCCTGAGCTATACTGAGAAGGACCTGCGTTCACCGAGGGATGCTGCGCCAGAGGCAAACTAGGGTCAGTTTACTACAGAAGCCTGGGAACCCCGCTCAATTCCCTCTAAAAAAGGCAAGGCTTCTGGAGATGCAGCATGAAAGACCAAGACAAGTCTTGATCAGAGTTATTGAAAATCTTCCGCAGGGCCAGGCTGGCTGATGAAAGGCTTGCAGGATGTTGTGCAGGGAACTCGGGAGAAGGACTGCGCATAACTAATCAAGACCGTGCAATTGCAAACAATAATAGAGGTTGGGGGCCCATGGGCCCCCTTTAGCCGGAGCGCCCATGTTCGCCTTTCACGGTCTCTAGTCGCACTTCTGTATGGTCCCAGAAACGCGCTCAGATGAATAATGAAGGTCGGGGACTTATGGACCTCCTTTTGCGAGCGACACCGCAACTTGCAAGCGACACCGCTTGCAAGCGGCACCTTACAACTTGCAAGCAGCACCTTGCAACTCGCAAGCGGCACCTTGCAGCTCACAAGCGACATCTTATTTGCGGAAGGTAGAAGCATAAAAGCCTTGATCCACATCGAAAGACATTAGTTTTCAGGTATAAACTTTTGAAAGATCGTTTTCCGCACTCTTTCATTTTGAAGAAAGCGGAAAGTCTAAGAATGAAGTCTTGATCCACATTGAAATACATAACTTCTGAAAAGATTGTTTTCCGCATTCTTTCATTTTGAAGGAAGTGTAAAGTCTAAGGATAAAGCCTCAATCCGCGTCGAAATGCATTCGAAAGTCTTCAGGTGCAAACTTCTAAAAGACCGTTTTCCGCACTCTTTCATTTTGGAAGGAAGCGGAAAGTAAGAATGGAGCCTTGATCCGCGTCGAAAATGCATTCGAAAGTCTTCAGGTGCAAGCGGGAAAGTCGAAAATCCGCGTCGAAATGCATTCGAAAGTCTTCAGGCGCAAACTTCTGAAAGACTGTTTTCCGCACTCTTTCATTTAGAAGAAAGCGGGAAAATCGAAGGATGAAGCTTTGATCCGCGTCGAAATGCATTCGAAAGTCTTCAGGTGCAACTTCTAAAAGACCATTCTTTCATTTTGAAGGAAGCGGAAAGCCTAAGGATGCAAGTCTTAAAGCGTCATCGTCTTTCATCCACAGGAAGGCTCGGGGAGTGTAGGCCGCCAGAGCCCACGTGTGACACTCGTGCGGTTCGACTTGATGAAAACGACGCGCGTCAAACGTAATCGGCCTCTCGCGTATATCATGCCAAGTTCGTCCATTGCGATTCTTTGCAACCCCAAGATGGAGCTTCATCGTGATTGATAAACTTGAAAGGTCACATGAATCACGCCGTCACGCTTGGGTCATTCTCCGGAGGACGAGTTTGGGTGGAAGATGAAAATGGAGATGCGACGGAGAAAGTTCAAATGAAAACCAAAACGCGAGCTCTCATCGGAACT